TGCTACATTATATTTCTATGTGTATCTATATGATTTTGCTATCAGTCTTTCACTAAAAGTTTGCTCTTCTACAGTATATACAGTGCTTATCTGCTCTAATGCCTGATGGAATCTGGTTTCATAACAAAGACATTCCTTCCATCATTTGCAGCCCTGCCAGTGGCATTGCCTATTGGTTCAATCTACCTTTAAGTTTTCCTGGGCAGGTGGATGGATCTGCTCTTGGGAGTTCTTTACATGTGCCCCCCTCCCAGCTTTGTCTCAGCCCTTCTCTGAGACAAAGACTCTGGTATGGACAGCCTCAGAAGTATGTTAAAGACAGAGACCGACATCATGAGTGCTTCTTCATATAAATATCCACTTCTACAAAGCAAATACTGGGGTCCAGTACAACATAAGGGGGAAACCATACGTGATACAGTGACATCTGATAGAAGATTGAGTAAAAACTCGTGTAGTCAGTAAGCATCTAAAATAAAGACTGGTTAAACTCTCCTCATTTGGAAGAGGCTTTCATCTATTTTCTCTTGTCAAGAAAAACTATACCTAATAGCAGGAAGATCACCTGTTCCTATCACCACTTGTGAAGCTGATTCAACCCTCCTGTGAAAACCAGTGGAGAACAACTACAAACCAAGACTGCCTATGGCTGTCTCTGTCTGGACAAGCTATTGGCCACACTGCAATAGTCTTGCCGGTGGACAAGAAACCATGACTTGACACTACTGATCTTTCCAACCTGATCTCTAAATCTGTTCCTAGAATGAGAACATGTAAGAAGACGATTCTAGCAGCACCTGATTTCCGCTGTTATCTTGGACCTCTTCCTGCAGGTTTTACACATGGATGTGGATGGAGATGTCTTGGCTTTAATTGGTGGATGCAGTTGGGGTCATGAACAAAGTCAGGTTGCTGTCTAAACAGACTCCAAACTGAGAGAATAAGACCATGTTTTGTGTGTGCTGTAGTAGAAGTTGGTGAATACTGTGAGCACCTCTTAAGGATGTTCAGCTGTTTAGAGCTTGACCAAAGCCAGTGAAGTCTGAAACTTTGTAAAGTCCAGTTCAGCTACTGATTGATTTATTATCAGAGGGGTAGCCGTGTTAGTCTGAATCTGTAAAAAGCAACAGAGGGTCCTGTGGCACCTTTGAGACTAACAGAAGTATTGGGAGCATAAGCTTTCGTGGGTAAGAACCTCACTTCTTCAGATGCAAGTCTTGCCACAGGACCCTCTGTTGCTTTGATTGATTTATGGGATCTGTCAGAGGCCCCATTAAACATAAACAAACTTGAGCTGCTTTTAGTCAGGAAAGCTTTCAATCAGTTACTCATAACTCATATACAGGTTCTGTCAGACAACAGCTACGTTGTCTAGCCTTACCAAACTAAGGGGGGAGGGACTTTCTCATAATGCTCAGGAACCAGAGCCAAGACAGAGAGGAGGACACCTCTGCAATGAAAGATTCCATGTTTATTGTCAGGGAATTCTTGCAAAATGCAAGACTTCAAGAACAGACTCTTAAACACCTCTTTTCCTGTTTGGAGAATTGTAAGCAATACTATATATATTACTTACAAAATATATATATGTTAAAAATATTATTAAGGTTGCAAAGTCAAGCACTCCAATATAAGGAAATGCCAGAATTAAGGTTCCCTCCTTGTGTGTGTGGATTATGATACAGTCTTTAATTACATGATCACAAATTACTTTTTCCACAGAGTACCTACCTCATTCAGTGCACAGGATGGACAGCACTCAGTGAACCACTATTCAATATTTTATTTTCCCTCATTGCTCAATGTGTGACCTAGGCCTTATTTACTGCACACTATTCAAATCCTGCTCTGAAGAATGAATTATTTCCTCATGGTATCTGAGTGTTTCACAAACATTAATGAATTTATTTAATATTTATTTTGTTAATATCCCACTTTACAGATGGGAAACTGAGGAACAGAGAGATTAAAGTAAAAAGTATCCACTAAATGTGGGTGCTAATCCTCTAGTTCAAAAGGAAATATATTCTATGGCTGTGTTATACAAGAGGTCAGACTGGATGATCACAATGGTCCTTTCTGGCCTTGGAATCTGTGAGACCTCTAAGACCTGATTTCTCAAAGTAAATAAGGCAGGGATCCCTTCAGACAACAGCCTCTTTCTTTATCCAACCCTGATTCATCCCAAGAGCAGGTCCAATGTGTGCATGGAATGAGGCAGGAGTACTGTGGAAAAAATAGTTTGTGATCATATAAGTAAAGACTGTATAATAATGGATAGGCACAGTGGGGCTGAATTAAGTTTGCACAGGCTACCTTCATCTGTCATTTCCTAACTTTTGAGAGTTTGACTTTGCAACCTTAATAATGTCCTTTTAGTGCAGTTTTTGTGCGTGTAATTTCCTAGGTTTTTAAAAAATAAACTGAAAAAACAGAAATTCCCTCATGCGATATCATATTGACACCCACATAGGACATTTGCAGAGTTGGAATCTTTAGATTCTCTACAGAGACCCCTGCCACTTGAGCCAATGGAGTAAATGATGGCAGTAGTAGGTTGTCATCCTCTATGTGAACCAGTACTATAAGGGGATGAAACTCTCTGCCAGAGGGTTTCACAGATATTTGCTCTCAGGAGAGGAATGGTTAGATTCAGGGATCTTGAATTCCTTTCCAGGCTTTGGAGAGATGTGTTCTCTAGTGGCCACAAAGTCTTCTTCCTGTTTTTCCCCAAGCTTGACTCCTTCTGCTCTTTCCTCTCCAGCCTGTCCGAGTCTCATTTCTCCTCATGTAGCCAGTCCCAGACTCCCTTACTCAGGTTTCTCATTCCAGTACCAGTTCCCCACTCTTGGCTCCTCATCCAATTTATCTCTCTTCCTCCAAGGCTTCCAGTCAGCCCCACACATCCTGTCCACTCTGGCTACCAGTCAATCTCCTCTGACTCTTCACCCACTCAGTTCCCAGTGCTAGTGTCCTTGCCCAGCCAATCCCAGTCTCTTCCCAAAACTCCTAGTCCCAGTTCTCTCCCCCATGCCAACTCTCCCAGTCTTCACTCCCCAGGCTCCTTGTCCCATTCTACTCCCCCATCCCCACCAGTTCTGGATTTTATCATCTCTACATTCGATTAAGGCACCTTCTGCTTCCATTCTGCCTGGGACAAGCATGAGAAGCACTGAGTGCACAGGAAAGACAGACTCACTGCTCTCAGTTCTGGTGCCTGGATCCAGACTCATCACAGCCTGGAGCAGCCAGGAACATCAATTGCACGGAAAGTCCTTCTCGGGCCCCTGAAGCCCCAGGCTGGAGCATACTCAGTTCAGATGGAATGTTTGGGGAATTAAGCTGTAAAGCTGTAACAAGTCTCTATTGAGCATGTGTGAACTGCAAATTTTCAAAGGCTTATCTCTTGGAGCAATTTGGGTGAAGCTTCAGGTGGAGGCAAAGGCCACCCACCTGTCAAATTTCAGGTTGCTACTCCAAAATATGAGGCCATCTAGAATATTTTTCCCTAGCTTTGTTCTTGGAAATGACTCAGCCATTTTGGTTGAAATTTTCCAAATAATCCAGCCTGAGGCAGATACCCAGCATGGGAAATTTCAGCCCAAATAGGTAGTTTGGCAAAGTTATAAGCAACTGGAAACAGGGTCTTATAATGGGAAATGTTGTGTACCTTAATAATAGTCGATGCTATCAGCTCTAGTACATATATGGGCTATGCATTTCTGCATCACAATCATTCCATTACTAGAGTAAAGCCTCTTGCATAGTGGAAACTTTTGCCAGGAGGCATCGTTAGGCCTGGCATAATCTTAGATACAAGTGAATACCCATTTGTGGAGGAAAAAAAGTTCTCCTTCCCCTCTAATAAACAGAATGAATTGTTCTTAACATTAAAAGTAATCTGACTTTCTAGCCTCTTTAGAGAAATATAAAGATGATTAAAAATTAGGCAAAGGATATTAACACAGCATCCACAAACCACCTCACAAGGTTAAGACAGCACACATTTCAAAGATTAATCATTGAGTATAAAAGGAAGCATGCTACCGTCTAGTTATAATAATTCTGCTTGTCAGTGTTGTAGCATGTGTTGGACGTAGCAGGATCTTTTTGTGTCAACTGTTTGTTTATAAAAGGTGATCCCTTCCTTCTGCCTACAGATAGACACCAAAACTGTAGGGCAATAAAAGCATATAATTTCTTAGGGTACGTCTATACCTACCCGCTGGTTCGGCGGCAAGCAATCGATCTTCTGGGATCGATTTATCGCGTCTAGACAAGATAAATCGATCCCGGAAGTGCTCGCCGTCGACGCCGGTAATCCTGCTCCGTGAGAGGAGTAGGCGGAGTCGACGGGGGAGCCTGCCTGCCGCGTGTGGACCCACGGTAAGTACCTTTAAGTTTGAACTAAGATACTTCGACTTCAGCTACATTATTCACGTAGCTGAAGTTGCGTATCTTAGTTCGAACTGAGGGCTTAGTGTGGACCAGCCCCTAGTGGCCAAAAGGGAAGGAATTAAGGCATTGCTTCTTTAATGGGCAACATTGTGGGCCAGATTCTCAATTACAATTCAGCCTCTCATCTAGTGCCTCTTTTGTGATGCAACACCAGCAGACCCAGGTCCTGCTCCAACTGCACCCTCCCCTGGTGTAGGGATGTGTTCAGGAAGGATGGAAGCTAAGCTATGCCATGCCAATCTTCATAGGGTCCCTTTAGGGACAGCACATGTTTGGAATCAGTTAGAGCAGATGAGTCCTGAGAATCCCTCCCACTCCATCTCCATCCCTCTCCTGCTCTGAACAGAGGGAGCCTACTCCTGTATGTGGCTTCCAGGGAGCTTTGAACTAGGATATCAAGGCCCTAATGCTCACCTACCTGTCCAACTATTTTCTCCATTCCTTCTAGAAGACGCTTGTTTTGTTCCTCAATCTCCACAGCCTTCCAGAGGATGGTATCTGGAGCTTCTTTGATACTTTGCACTTCAGAGACCAGGTGGAGCAAGGGATCATTCCAGGAGCGCAGTACTCCGAGCACTAAATTCAGTAGGTCTTCATGCTATTCATCAATGTTAAGAAGATGCAGTTAAAGCAAAAAGACTGTATGAAGGTAACATGAGGAGGCAGTGCTGTATTCAGGTTAGAGCAGTGGTCTACGACTGAGGGAACCTAGATTTTATTTCTAGCTCTGTCACTGATTTGCAGTGTGCCCTTTGGCACATCACTTGTCTTCTTCATATATTTCAGTTCACCCCTCTGCTAATGGTGTATTCATGTACATACAATCAGTTATTATTAACAATGTGTTAAAAGATAATTGGATGAATGGATAAAATACTGTAAATACAAAATATCACCAAAATTGTCTCTACAGTATATTGTATAATGAGAGTGACTAGGTTTAGCCTCTGTGAACGGAATTGCATTTAACTTGATAATTAGCCAATTTTTAATGAGACAGATTTAGAAGTCTGGTGGGATCTGAAAAAAAATCTCAGCACCGAATAGAAGATACACTCTGGGGTAGGCCACTTAATGCCTTTTATAAAGGATTTCTACTGTCTACAGAGCATAGTAAACATACCCTGTCATCTTCCTCATCCCCTTTGAAGAGTTTTGCTTCCAGGGAAAGTTCTTCTCTTTAGAAACTTTCACTGCTTGGGGTTAGGTGGAAGCTCAAAAAGCTTTTGCTCTTTTGGGGGTGCTCCTAACTATTCTGCGGCACTAGAAACCTTTTAAAGTTGACACATGGGACTTATATTCTGCATCTGCTCCTGTGCTTAAAGAAAGAGAATTTGTAACCTATTGCATAATATTCTAAAAGGAGGATCTTGGGATTGCAAAACTCGGACTAGGGTGCAACTGGGAAAACATCAAACTCTGGTGTAACTCTTTGGTGACTAAGCTTGCACATTGTCCTCTCCAAAGCATTTCCAAGGGCTAAAAGAAGGTGGACATACACATCTCTGTTTACGGCTGCCATCGTAAAATGGAGAATACAGAATTTAATGTGGCAATATCCAACATGACTCTCTTTACAAGTTGTTTGATTGTTACAATTACCTTGTGTTGTTAAAGTCTCTGTATCTGAGTGATGATGTGGCCACTTCTCATCTGGTGGCTATTGCATGGTTATCTATTTAGAGTCTGTCAACTGCTACAGTAACTATAGAGCCAACAGCATAGTACCTACTGTATTTATGCGTCTCTTTGACTACTGATGCCCGCTTTGCTCCTTCCCGTACCTTTATTATTATCATGCTTAATTATTATCTAGTTGTATTAAAGTAATGCCCAAAGGCTCCAATGAGAGTGCTATACAGATATAAAGAAAGACTTGGCCTCTGCTTCAGAGAGTTTATAATGTAATTTGAAACGGTATGCAGTAACTGAATGTAACATACAAAGAGAGGGAGACTGAGAGCAAAAGGAATAAGATTGTTTCTTTTATAGTACATATATTGAAACTGAATATCTGTAAGAATTTTCATCAGTATTTGACATTTTCTACTTTTCTTTTCCTTGCATTTGATTTTGAATTAACTGTTTTATCTCTTTCAACTAGCTGTGACCTAGCCATCTCTAAATTCACTATTGCCTCTCTCTCCTCCTTTCATTCTGAAATAGGTTAAAAATGAGACTCACGTGAATCTGCTGAGCTTGCTCCTTGTCTTCAGGAGTGGTTAGGGAGGAAGTGTGGCAGCCATTAATGGCCTTTGTAATAAATCCCCGACCTTGAGCATAGCGCTCATCCTGTGGATCAACAACAACATGCATTTATGAAATAAATAAATAAATAGTTGAGTCGTGGCTCAGATATTCTAAAGGAAATTAAGTAGGTATTTTCCCTTTGGTTTCATCTCTGCATGTGCTGTGTTTGTCCAGCCACTATATAGAGAAGTAGTTGGGATTAGATTCTTTTATTTGAGTTGATATGACCTAAAACTGTGGAAGGAAAATACACTTCTACCCCGATATAACGCGACCCGATATAACACGAATTCAGATATAACGCGGTAAAGCAGCACTCCGGGGGGCGAGGGCGGGGGGGCGGAGGTGCGCACTCCGGTGGATCAAAGCAAGTTCGATATAACGCGGTTTCACCTATAACGCGGTAAGATTTTTGGCTCCCGAGGACAGCGTTATATCGGGGTAGAGGTGTACTTTCTGGGATTAGATTCCTGCACAGAATCTGTTTAGAAGGGATAAATCCTATATTTTAGTATAGTGGTTCTTACAACCCTTCCTGGTGGTCTGAAAAACTAAATCATTTTGAGAATCAAATAGTAGGGGATTTGGAGATCTAGGGGGTAAGATGTGTGTGAGGAGAATCTTTCTTATAAAATGGTCCACTGAATGAATTATGTTGATATCTTTTTTCTACCTTACAATTTTGAAGTTGTTTAAATATATTGTGATAGGAATGGGAGTTTCCTCAAATATTCCAGATGTAACTGGCCTATGGCTTGCTTATGGCTCTTTATAACTGGCCTTCCAAAAGAATAATCTTGTTCAGTATATTTCACTGGAGATAATTTTTCTACTTCCTCCTCTCCCTCCCAAACTGTCTTATTAATAATTTTCAAATATTGGCACCTATACTCTTGCCATCAAATTTTATATCAAGCATGTATAAACTCAGCAGTCAGTGACTGAAAGCCTGCACATCACTGAGTCTAGAAGGAATAGAGTAACTTGATGTCTTTGATATCTGAGTTTGTATTCAGTCAGTCCAGATCCAATCTTTCTGAAAAAAGGGTCAGTTTAATGAGACCTGGTACAGTTTGCTTATGTCCTAGGAAAATGTTTAATGTTGTTTGTAGAAAACTAAATGTCCAGTCCTATGGAAAAAAAAGTATGTGATCATGTAAAATTAAAGACTGCATCATAATAAGGCTTGGCAGAATTTGATTTTTCTTTTTTTATAATTTCAATGGATAATATCTATGGCTATTTTGAAACATTTTATTAGCTATTTAATAGTTGTGGGAAATGAGTAGGTCAGATGATGAGGAGGGTCAGACAATAATTGTTTAATGACAGTAGATGCTGAGATTCAAAAGGTTAAAGCTTTATAACTGTTAAAACACAAATTGTCAGCACCACATATCAAATATAGAAACTAAATATCCTTAAAGCAAACTCTAATAAATTCTCAAGCAGCATGTTTATTACTTTGCCTATCTGTACCATTTTGATTATTGTCGATGGGAAATGTTCGTTGGTTTATGTGTACGGTGAAATACACAACGTACTGACATTTACCAATCCTTCCAAGCCCAATCCTCATGTTATGATAAGGGGGATGAATTAAGGTTGAAAAGGCAACCTTCATTCTGGTATTTCCTAGCTTTTGAGTGCTCGAGTTTTCAACCTTAATGTTCCTTTAATGTAGTTTATTGTGCAATTTCATAGGTCTTTTTGAAAAACAAACTGAAAGAACAGAAATTCCTGCACGTAGCACCTTATTGACACCCACTTGATTCATCAGCAGGGTCAGACAGAACCTTTAGCTCCACCACACAGACCTCTGCCACTGGACCTAGTGGAGTAACTCATAGCAGTTGTAGGTTGTTACTTCTGTGTGGACCAGCGCTGGAGGGGAATGACAGACGTTGCCAGTGGGTTTCACAGATATTTGCTGACCGCAGAGGTATGCTGAGACTCAGGAATCTCGAGTTCCATTCCAGACTCTGGAGGGGAGCGTGCTCTAGTGGACACAGACACTACTAACCTTGTTTCCCCAAGCCTGAACCATTTCATATTGCTAAGCTCCACTTGTGTTTTTTTTTTAAGTATTGTACTGCAGTTTCTGTCAAGTCTCACTCATAAAAGGCTGAGTACTTACAAATTCGTTGAACATTTCTGAGGAGAGGGAGTGGATGTAGTGTGAGAGTTTAACTGCACGATCAAAAAGATTCCCAAGGGAGACCTGACAACCAACAGACCCACTTGGACAGATTGGCAATGAGGTCACACCTTTCTTTGACAGGAACATGTTAGATACCAGCAGAACCACCAGCAGCACACCTATTCAGGTTTAAAACAAAAAACAAAACGCAGATATATGGATTTAGAAGGCGTTGTATAGCAGAAACTATCACAGTTTTTTAGGAAACAGTGTTCCCTGTGTTACAGTATACTGCACTCTCTACTGTCTCTTACCACTGCACCTGCCTTCATTATACAGCAATAAGTGGGGAAAAATCAGCCTTCCCCACTTTGTAAATATAAATACATAATTATATTTTCATAGATACATAGTTGGAAAAGTAGGTTGCTCCCTTTTATTTTTCTCCCAGCCCTCCACAAATGTGCTTTTCTTCTTTGCAAATGTTTGCAGTTTTTAAATTAATTTTGAGGGAGGGTGGTTATGTCACTCTCTAAAGATTTTGATTGTCCTGGGAATTCCCTCAAAAGATTTCCAGCAGCTGTGCTGTTTAGCAATTTGAGTTTAACCCTAAAGTGCCTACTGCTAACAAAACCCATAGTGTACTTCAGTCCCTTTCTGATCTTTTGAAGCTTTTACAAAGGACTTCTGAATGTCTTACAGACAAAACAGATCTGGTAAAACTTTTAACATTAACTTGACAGAATCAGTTTTCTACCCAGTGAAATAAAATATGCGCATAAGTACAGTGAAATCTTTTTAAAAAAATAATACCTGATAAATTAATACATTGGTTCAAATATTAGTATCCCATGCAGCTAGAGGTAGAATTCCCTCAGAAAAATGACTTGATAAATATACTGTTTTATCAAATGTATTCATTTTATGTGTGCCAAACTAAAATATACCTAATAAAACAGAAGAACCCCCTTTATATCATCTATTAAAGGAATAGCATGTAGTTCAGCAAGTTTCTCCCTGGCTCTGAACTCAAGAAAAATTCATTTTATCTACACAACCATTATAATGCAAACCCCATAAACAATGTGCACTCAAAATGCTGCAGATAGAGGAGTGTGTTGGGAAAGAATCAGATGGTGAAGGAACATTAAGACTACATGGCTCAAGAGATTGGGATTAGGTTACAGGGCCATTCACTGGTAAATCCCTAGTTTGATTCTGGACAATGTAGGTAATGACTGAAAGTCATTGCTTTCTGACAGCTATTCAGTGTTTTTTGTGAAATAAATAGGCAATCTGGATGTGCCGATGTCACATCCTTAAATCAATTATAATTGACATTAATCAGTACTTCTGTTAGTCTGAGGCCAGTACAGTCTTATATTGGTATAATTACATTGCTCAGGGATGTGAGAAATCCAACTCTCAAGAAGGTGGATTAACTATGACGATGGGAGAAGCTCTCCTGTCAGTATAGTAGCATCTTCACTAAGGCCGTGTCTACCTACAACTTTTGTCGTTCAGGGGTGTGAAAAAACACTGCCCCGTGTGACAAAAGTTTTAGCGCTGAAAAGCACCAGTATAGACAGCGCTTTACCACTGCTCGTTCAGGGTGGGTTTTTTTTATTGCTGGGAGAGCTCTCCCCTGGCGATAAAGCATGTCTACACTGCCGATGTCACAGCGCTGGGTAATGTAGACATACCCTTTAAAGCACTACAGCAGCGCAGCTGCACTGTACATGAAGACAAGCCCTCAGAGAGGCCAACAGATAAAGGACTAAATAGATATAGGGACCAAACTACCTTCTCACTCCTAGGAATAGACTCTCCACGTAGAGATGGAGGAAGCTTGCACTGATGCTGCCTGTACTGTATCTGTTGTATGGCTAAAGAGAGGACTTCAGTCTACAGACCTGTCACTCCAACAACTTTCTTCATTCCATACCAAATTCACTCTAACTTAAAGGAAGCACACACGCACATGCACTCACACAAAATATCAAAAAGCCAATGGCAAGAGACTTACCTTTCAACGAAGCCCCCTTGCTCATGGTAGTGAGCATGTGTGGCAACTTTCTTCACCAGAAAGAAGCGTGAAGTTCTTATTCTCATCTTCTGTGGGTGCCAGCTTTATACACCCTCCAGGGGCCATGCTGAATATATTCAGCAGGTTGTTTCCCATGCTTCCTCGTCATTGAGTTTACATTCTTAATTACAAACATCAAAATGCTCCTTCATTTCATATTCATATTCAGCATGACTTTGTGGCTTGCGGGAGGGAATTTGATAAGTTTGGCTGTGAGATCTTAGAGTGGACTGGAGTAGTACATTGATGGTCAAAATGAGAGAGTAGACATATCCTGCTCTTAGGTGCAAATCCCACTGATCTCTGTGGGAGTCTAGTTTAGGCCAGAGTGTTCTAGTTAGCAAGCTGGGAAAGATATCCTCAACTTTTACTGTCTTGTTGATAGCTCCCTCTCCACATCAGCTGGGCGCATTATTTTCATATTTATAATTATGGGTAACTATGTAAGGGAAACAGTATCTTGCAAAGTCAACATTACAGACCTTGAGAGAGAAGTGACACAAATTGCCCTGAAATCTGCCAAAAGAAAGGAAATGGAGGCTCCTCCAAATAAAATGCATCATCTAGAAAACTAGTATGTTGAAGACTCAGCATGATAGGAACACAGCTCAATTCAGGAAAGAGAAAGACTAGGGAGCCTGAATTAGAATCCAAAGTATTAGATCTTTAAATAGTAACCAAGAAGTTTGAAAGGTGCTGAGAGGGAAGAGTGCAATTCTTTTAAACACATTTAAATAATAATAAAAAAATCAGTATAAAACATACATGTTTGCTGCTTACTTAAGTATTATCTATTAGTGGAAACCTGATAAAAGATGAGATTTTTAGTGTAGATGAAAGTTGCATATTTAAAAAATCTACATATCCACTTTATGGAAAGTGGTGGTTGTTCTAATCAACAGGATGTATAATTTGTTTCCAGTTCTGACATTTCTCTGATAATCTACAAGCTACCCAGCTGGTCAGCTCTAGTAGGCCCCATGTTATTGTGTGAGGCCCATCTGTATGAATGTATTAGCGAGTGCTTAATCTCTCATCTGTTCCTCAGATCCATTTACCTATGAAAAAACTTTCCAAATTAAATGATTATTATGAATAAGGCATTAATTTTTAATGAATATCTTACCTTCAGATAACCCATTCCATACCCATGTAATGGGCACATATGGAACCCTGAATTCTTTGTTTTGTAATTGTGGATGTAAAGGGTGAAAATTAAAAACATGGGAGAGGAGAGTTAGAGAGGGTAAACTATGAGATGCAGGGGTCGAGAAACAGTATCCAATTAGAAATGCGTCAGCAACAGGCTGTAATTACCAACAGGATGTTGCTCAGGACTGGGTCAATTACACTGCTCTACAGCCAAAATGCTTCTGAAATAAATGTAGTCAAACTTTACTAATTCTGGGTCACTGAGAATGAAAATGATGCTTAAAATTGTTGATTGGCTCTAGTTTTCAAGATATGCTATTGAGTCAGTATATACGACCCTTGACTTGGGAATGGCGGAGGATAAATGAGTTAT